GATAGGGATGGTGAATATGATGCACCATTAAATGAATTTTGTACACAACATGGCATTATTCACCAAACTACAGCACCTTATTCTCCACAGCAAAATGGGATTGTTGAAAGGAAGAATAGAACCCTAAAAGAAATGATGAATGTCATGTTATTGAGCTCAGGCTTACCACAGAACTTGTGGGAGAAAACAATATTGTTTGCTAATTATGTTCTTAACAGAATACTCCACAAAAAAACCAACATCATTCCTTATGAATTGTGGAAAGATCGATCGCCTTCCTACAAATACTTAAAAGTGTGGGGGTGTTTGGCAAAAGTTGGAGTTCATGTTCCTAAAAAGACTAAGATTTGACCAAAAACAGTAGATTGTGTGTTTATTGGTTATGCTCAGAATAGTAGTGCATATCGGTTTCTGACTTATAAATCAGAAATGCCTGATATAAATGTGAACACTATTATAGAGTCAAAGAATGTTGTGTTTTTCAAACATGTCTTTCCTTACAAGAAATGACAGGAATTAAGTTCACAGAAAAGAACTTATGATTGTACACAAAGTCAAGAGACTAATGACAATCAAACACAAGAGACTAGTAATGGTCTTGACCAACAGGATTTAACTGATGATGAACCAAGAAGAAGTAAGAGAGCGAGAACATCAAAATCCTTTGGTCCAGATTTCCTAACATACCTGTTAAAAAATGAACCTCAAAACTTTAAGGAAGCAATGACAGGTCCTAAAGAACCTTTGTGGAAAAAAGCTGTTAATAATGAAATTGAATCTATTATGCAAAATCATACTTGGGAATTGGTGGATCTTCCACCAGGTTCTAAACCTCTTGGATATAAATGGATATTCAAGAGAAAAAAAATGAAAGAAGATGGTTCAATTGACAAGATACCTGTTAAAAAATGAACCTCAAAGCTTTAAGGAAGCAATGACAAGTCCTAAAGCACCTTTGTGGAAAGAAGCTGTTAATAATGAAATTGAATCCATTATGCAAAATCATACTTGGGAATTGGTGGATCTTCCACCAGGTTCTAAACCTCTTGGATATAAATGGATATTCAAGAGAAAAAAAATGAAAGAAGATGGTTCAATTGACAAGTATAAAGCAAGATTTGTAGTTAAAGGTTACAGACAAAAGGAAGGTTTGGACTATTTTGACACATATTCCATTGTGACAAGAATAGCATCCATTCGCATTCTTATTGCTATAGCAGCACTGTTTAATTTAGAAATACAGCAAATGGATGTTAAGACAGCTTTCTTAAACGGTGATCTAAATGAAGAGATCTATATGGAGCAACCTATAGGGTTTGTAATGCCAAGGCAAGAAAAGAAAGTTTGTCAGCTTGTAAAATCTCTTTATAGATTAAAACAAGCATCTAAGCAATGACATGAAAAATTTGATTATGCAATGCTTACTAATGGGTTTAAGATAAATAAATGTGACAAATACGTCTATGTTAAAAACATTGACCAAGGATATGTTATAGTTTGTCTTTATGTGGATGGCATGCTTATCATTAGAAGCAGTCAAAACATGATCAAATTAACTAAGCAAATGCTTAACAGAAGATTTTATATGAAAGATATGGGGGTCGCAGATGTTATATTAGGAATGAAAATTACTAAAACATCTGACGGATATGCGTTATCTCAATCTCATTATATTGAGAAAATTCTTGATAAATTTATCAAGGATGATTTGAATGTTGTTAGAACACCTGTAGACATCAGTCTTTATTTATCGAAAAATAAAGGTGATGTACTGTCTCAGTTAAAATACTCCTAAATCATTTGAAGCCTAATGTACCTAATGAATTGTACTCGTCCTGATATAGCTTATGCTATCAGTAAATTGAGTAGGTACACTAGTAACCCCAGAGAAGACCATTGGAAAGCGATCATTTGGGTTCTTAGATGTCTACGATTCACCCGTGGTCATAGTTTGAACTTTACTCGATATCCAACAGTACTTGAAGGTTATTGAGATGCAAATTGGATATCGGATACTAAAGATTCAAAATCCATAATTGGATATGTCTTTACTCTGGGAGGCGCTGCTGTTTCTTGGAAATCCACGAAACAAACATGCATTGCGCGATCCACAATGGAATCCGAGTTCATTACTTTAGATAAAGCAGGAAAAGAAGTAGAATGGTTTCGTCACTTCTTAGAAGATATTCCAATGTGGCCAAAACCTGTGCCAGGTATTTGCATTCATTGTGATAGTCAATCTGCAATAGGCAAGGCACAGAATCATATGTATAACGGTAAGCACGACATATTCGTCGTCGACATAATACCGTAAGGCAATTGTTGTCAAATGGAATAATCTCAATAAATTATATAAAATCTAAAGAGAATATTGCGGAACCGTTAACAAAAGGTTTGACAGAAGAGCTAGTGTATAGTTTATTGAAGGGAATGAGATTAAAGCCTATTACATAAAAGTCGTCATACTGGTAACCCTATTTATATGACTGGAGATCCCAAGAATTAAGTTCAAAGGGACAACTAAGTTATGTGTGGCTCGCCAGAAATCACTAAGGGATTAAAATTTCCTACCCATTCCTATGGTGAGAGTGATATCTGCAACATGTGTTGTCTGCAGGGGTATAAGAATAAGCTTTGCTTTTAATGATTACTTATATCTTGATTTAGGTATAAAAATCAAGACAAGAATAAAGATATACTTACAATAAAAATCACCTATATGAGTGTCGAACTGGGGCCGGTTCTATGAGAATGAAGAGGCTAAATTCTCTAGAAACACTCATGAAAACCAGAAGCGTTTAAGGCCAAAATGAATACAACAGTGAGAACCACGATGTTTTAGAAGATATTTTGTGTGAAATCTGTTGTCTTGGCTTACACAAACGGCTGAACAATTCAAGGCATCGCGTTCATTGGTTAGCCAATAAGTCCGATAGGTTATCACTAAGGAAGGTTCAAGACCGAAAGCTACCTATCCTGATGTAAGATATTTTCGACTTATACTCTTTCGATAAAGTCTGTATATTGTTGCATTTCCGTTGTCATCAAATTCCATTCATATAGGGGATTGCTGGAAATGGTTAGGAAATTTTGGTAAAATCAGAATTTTTTGCTAACTTTGGTCTATTATTTGATGGGACCCGAGCGTCAAATTTGGCGGGTCAAAGTGGTAACGCGTTCTATGTCGCGTTGTAATTCACGTGCTATATTTGGTTGCTCAAAATCATTATCGAGTGAATGGGAAATTGAAGTCAAAGTGAGCTCCATAGAAATGGAATTTTAGTGGAAATTCCTTAAGGTTGAAAAATGGCTTGTCCCACATTAATTTGGTGGAAAGTTTTGAATGGGTTTATAAGGCATGAGATTGGAACTTGGAGTGTGCCCCAAGGGGTACCCAAGTTTTGTAGAGAGGGAGGTTATGGGCAAAATGGGCTTGACCCATTGGATACAAAAATCACTACATGCGCGCGCGCCGCCGCTGTCCATCCGGTCGGGCGGGCTGGGCTTGGGCGCGGGTGTGTTGTTGGGTTGGGCTTGTTCGGCCCAATACTAATCTTTTTGGACCAGAAACATTTGGATTTAATTTTATTTTTCAAAATAAAATCTGTCCAACTGTCCAGAATTCAAATTAATTCCGAAATTAATCTGTTCTGATTGTTCTCTACACCCAAACAGGTCCCTTCCGTTTTTATCTGTTTGAATTTTGAACCCAACAAATTTAAATATGTTTAATTCAAAACCAAACAGGTTTTATACCTGCTCAAACGCAGGTTAGCACCTGTTTAATTCAAAATCAATAGACACCACTACATCTATAAATAGGCAACCCTCATTTGATGTTTTACATTCAGAAATTTCGTACTTCTCCTCTGCAAATTTATTCTTCATTTTGCTGCATTTAATTTTTGTGAGAAAGAGTGTAAACACTTAGTGTATTCGCTGAACAAATAAATTGTGGTGCTGCATTTATTTGTAATTGATCATTTCATCCTGGGAGATAAACGTTCATATTCTGAAAACACAGTGGAGAGGATGAATGTCTTCTTAAAGAGACAGTGTCGAACACTGGACTTGATCAGAATAATATTCAAGATATTAATCAAATAAGTTATTTATTTATTTTTTATTTTAATTTTACTTTTGTAACAAAATAAAATCTATTTTTATTTATTTAATTCTATTTCTAATTTGATTTTTATAATCAAACTTTCTCTCTCCTTTCCTATTTTTTTTTATATTCTGTTTGTCGTTTAGTATCTAAACAGAATTAATTAATTTAATTACAGTGAAGATTGTCCAACACATGATAGACAAAAAACATAAAAGTACATAATGTTTCCCATTTATTTATTTATTTATTATAACCAGAAATCATGTTCCAGCTACGTGCCTTTTGGACTCACCCAAGAGCATAAATCTGAGGATCAAGCAATACCCGGTAATCATATGATTCAGCCAAACGTAAACGGTTGACAAGAGTCTATTGTCAAAACTGTGTTGGGCAGGACACACTCACCAACTAGGCTAGCACTTGAGAGGTAACGGACAACAACGTTGCTAAGAGAAAAAGGAAAGGCTATGGTATGGTCATGGTTCAAAGGCGTGGCAGAAATGATTTGATAAAAATAAAAAATATTTTGATCTTGTAATATTCCTGGGACATCTAAACTTCCCAGAGTTGGTCAAATGCCCTTAACTGTTTTGAATTTTGTTTGAATCACATGATGATTTGGTCGTGTCTGACCAGTGGCACCTATGAAACCAGAGTTGGTAAGTAGCTGATGAGAAAACATTCTTAGGTCCCAAGTCTGATATTCACAGGCAATAATGAATCAAACAAAAAGAATTTACCATTCCACAAATGGATATATCCATAGAAGCTAGGGCAAAGTTGCAGGATGGTATAAGGGGGGATCTATTTGTTTCATCCTACACCAAATGGCTTTCAACTAGAAATTATGAGCTTCAAAAAAAAAAAAATGCAAATATAAAACTTCATGGAACAGAAAAATTCATGCGATCAATTAAACGGGAATTTGTCCACCTAGATGCTTGAAGAAAAATAATTTCAAAGCTTTAGAAGCATGCTCCACCTAGCATTCAAGATGCAGATAAATTAATATGAGATATAAACCAATTTACAGCCAATAGTGATGTATTTGTTCCCTTGTCCTAACTGTAGAGCTCGCCGACTTGCTACTATATCTTTATTCTTATATGTCAGAACACAACCACACCAACGCTCTTTTCTGTGTGAAAATGGGATTGCAACTGACGAAATCCAAAGAGAAGCAAAGCATCATACAGCCGAAGAAGAAATAGTCTGCCTGACATCAAAGAAATATATTTTTCGTGAGGAATGTGAAACAGCAAAACAAATAAGAATTGGTGTGACAATGATAACTGAGAGTTCACAGTTACATACTTCATAAAAATGGAGCAAGTTTCTGAACCCATGAAGTAAACTTGAATTAGTTTGATTAAATTCAAAGTAATTGAAACTAACAAATACGGTGCCTAAGACAGCAAACTAGTGTTCTATGCTACTGATGTTAGTAGTCCAATCTTGCTAGATGGTAGCTCAATCAATTGGTATAAAGACAGATTAGGGTTTTTGAAAGTGACAAAAAAAGAAGCTACAAGATTAACACAATTCATGCAATTGATACATGAACACAAAAAAATCAGCTATATATCATTTGTTTACATCTGGAAGAGTCTAATGATCAAAGTCAAAAAGTCTCCTACTCTTTTTGAGCGGGTGTACTAGAATTAGGAGAACCCAGCAGCCTATTAATTTATATATAAATCTAGCTATTCGCTAGAGTGTGAATATTTTGAGGCGTTGTGTAACCTTACCATGGGGATAATACCTAGAGAGTTATACGTGGGATTTCCTAGAGTTTCTTTCTTTCTTCTTCTCATCACACAACTATTATTCACAAAAACTACTTATATGCCCCCAAAAGTGCCCCTTGCCGATCATGTCTAGGTCAACTTTAACCCCTTCCCTTACCTATTCATCTTAAATCTGAACTCTATAACCTAATTTCGCCATTGCTCATGCCTTCAAATTGTACCAAATCAGAAAATTTGTAACATGGAATTTTGGAAATCAAACCAAATTTCAACGATTTCCCACTCTGAACACTAAATTGTTTCTTCTCCTTACAAATCCTACAAACTCTCCAGAACCCACACCAACCACAATTCCAATTGTTGGCAGCCTTGGGCCCAGTTTCCTAAGTTTTCCTATATCAGTTTGGCACCAGAGCAAAAGAACCCACCTTTATTTAGCCTGAATTTCTCTTTTAACAGACCATCATGGTTATTAACACAGCCTCATCTAAAATTTGCTGCGTTTTCAAAATAATATAAAGCTATGAAAGTGATTTTGGTTTGAGGCCCAATTCTTTGGAAACGAAAGCTAATTCTATGGCAGAAACACTTCCATCTATAGGGCTTTTATTAATGTTTTCCTTCATCAACGTGAAAGTCTAGTGACATGGATGCAGCACTTAGGTTCTTCCAACAGTGAGGTTGGGACTTCAACTCCCTAGGGTACTAATCCAACAACTAACAACTGACTGTCACCTATCAAACAAAAAACCCGTGAAAGGAACATATATGAAAAGCAAATGCGTGAAGATTCAACTTATGTAGTGCAGTATTAGATGTTGCAAACATTGCCTACTTTTCTCCTCTTATTGGAGTTCTTAAAATAGATTGACAAGATGATACTTTTTTTCTTTTCTTTTCTTTTTTCTTTTCAAAGCTTTGGTTTGGTGTTTGCCTACAATTTTTCAAATTGCCAAGGAACACGATGACCAAGATACCAGAGTTTATGAAATCAAACAAAGAAGGATCCTTCTGAATTTTGTATTACTAACCAATCTCTGGATGCCAATGACTTGCACAAAATCCTGACATTGAGACTTTATCACTCCAAATAAATTCTTTGAATTATGGCAAAATTTGATTCATTGGTTTTCGGTTTTTGTTTTGTTTTTTATTATTATTTTTATAAGCATAATAAAATTTTATTAATGAAAAGGAAATTTAAAATTTCAGCACTTTTTTATCATTAATATAATTTTCTTGTGGCTGATCAAAATAAAATAATTAAAAAAATGTGAGGGAAAATAAAAAATTACATCATTGGACTTCAGACAAGATTTTCTTGTCTTATGGGTTAAGTTTATGGAAGGGCATTCGCAATGTTTGGGATTATTTCTTTAGTCACGTTCAGTTTGTGAAGTGGGTAAAGTTTTGGAGTCATGGATGGCGTGGTGATGACAAGCTAGAGGATGCTTACCCCAGGCAGGAAGCTATTAGTGATTACCTTATATTGGCTTGTGATGCATTTTGGTATATTACCTTCAGAAAGGAGCTTGATGATTGGGAATTGGAAGAAATGATGAATTTGTTTGATCGATTGTATGCCATGCCACCAATCTCGGTGCAGATAGAGATGCCACCCTATGGATTAGACATTTTATGGTCAAGTCTTACAATGACGCCCTCTTGTAGCATAGGGGGTTCCTTTTTTAGGACAGATGGATTTCGGTACCAAGACCCCTTCCAAGGTGACTTTCTTTGATTGCTGCCAGACACATGACAAGATTCCCAACATTGATAATTTGATTAAAAGAAGACAAGTGCATGTGAATTGGTGTTCCAAGTGTAAAAAATATGGGGTGTCAGCAAGTCATTTTCTCATCTATCACAAGGTGGTGAGGGAGTGATGGTCTTTGCCCCTTCTCTTGTTTGGTATTGGGTGGGTGTTACCTTGGACAGTTGGGGACTCAAGCAGAGAGGCAGATGAGGAAGGCATGGTGTTCGGTACCTTGGTGTTGATGTGATGAGAAAGTAAAAGAAAAAACTTTTGATGGTAGAGAAGAGTGCATTTTTAAATTAGAGAGATTTTTGTCTTTATTATATAGTTGGTTTTTATACAACCGACCCCATTTGATAGGACTTAAGACTTGGTTTGGTTTGGTTTATTATATAGTTGGTTTTTGGTGGTGGTTCTCCTCAAACCAATATTTTTTGATTTTGTATTGGCCTTTAAATAGGTTTTAATGTACAATTGTGATCTATGTTACATGGACTCTTCAAAATAAATCAAATTCCCGTATCGGACACCCGGCACTTGGACAAGGGGGTGTGATATATGTCCGATACTTTCCATAATTCCATTGGACATTTTCATATATTTATATTTGACATTATCTTACACGTATCATTTGTTGTGTAATTACTATAAAACACTTTTTTGACGTTGTATGTTACATATAATACCATTTTATCTTATATAATAGATTAAAAATATAAAAATATGACTCTTTATTATCGAGTTCGCGTACCCTTAAATTTGAGATTTGATGAGTCCGACCTCCGGATATGCAACCACACCCAAAAACCTGTACCCGAGTCCATGTAACATAGATTGTGGTGCATTTCTTTTGTATACGGAATTGCACCCCCTTGGTGCCCTTTAAAATAATAATTTTTATTTATAAAATACGGAGAACAAGAAGTCCACAAAGAGAACCAAAAAAAGAAGATTACAAGTCACAAGCAGCTCTCCATACTCTACTGATAAAAAAAACGAAAGAATCCCCTTAATAGGAGAAGTGACCGACACCCAACAAGGAAACAAATAACAAATTTTATCAAGCAACGCTCTAAGAACTAAGAATAATAAAATATGAAATGAAAGCACATAAAAGGATAGCATGACTTCCAAAAGACAATGAAAAATCCCATGACTCATTCTGTGGCCAAAAATAAGATACTATTCCAACAGAATGAGTTCAAAATTTGAATCCACACACCTAGATGCAGACTGCAGTAGCAATTACAAGTCTAGACTAACCTTTAACCCTGAAAGCTGTGTATGCTAATCTGAAGCAGAGGTTGTAGCACATGAAGCTTGTGTGTTAACCTCATTTAACGAATTGTTACCACCAGTCTCTGCAATCTGATGGTTGCCTTGATCTGGAACTGAGCTATCCTGCAAAACATTTGATACAGAAGCTGTATTGGTTCTGTTATCGTCTCTTGTTTCAAGATGCTGCATCATACGTGTCACAGTAGCAATTCCTGCATTGTTATCCATCCTATCTTCAGAACCAAGATCCGCCATGTTATTGTTGCGGGAGAACAATCTCTCCTTCCAACCCCTTGTGCTCTTTGTAATTGACTCTTTGTATCTTAAAGAAGGAGAAAAAAACAAATAAATGAAAACAAGAACTCAACAATTTAATAACCAACCTACAGTATATAGCATGTTTTCCATGTACCTCATTGACATTGCATTCAACCGAGACTTAAGAGATTCTGAAAATGATTGGAACTCGGATGGTCCTGCTCTATCCTGACCAGCTGGGGACGATTGAGGAGGAGACCTCCTACATGACAACAATTACATCATGAACTGTAAATATATGAAGAAAAAAATATTGAAAGACAAAAAAGGGCAAGAGTTATGGGCCAAGGGAGGAAACCCCTGTGTTTTATTGCCAAAACTGCTTTTGTGAAGTTAATTAACTACGAGAATCACTTTAAGATCAAATTCAAGAATCGAACATACTGATTGTTTGAGGACGTTCCATTATGAGTCGCAACAAGAACACTTGATCCAGATGCCTCAGAAACCTGATCAGCTTGACTAGAAGGTTGAGAAACCAGTTGTGTAGAGTCTTCTCCCACAGTTATAAGAGAAGTCGGCCCAGCTACTGTGACCGGAGGAACTGGTTCACCCTCACCTCTGTGAGTTTGAGAAGAAGACACAGAAGCAACGGGAGGTGCATTGGGATGAGTAGAGAACACAAGAAAATGTGGACGACCCTGAGCAGATGATCTACCCCTCTGACCTTCCCTCCGGGCAATATGGCGTGCCCTCCCCATTGCAGCAGCAGCAGCCAAGTGCTGAATAATACGCTCTTCGAGTTCAGCATCGGTTGCACTAACTGGTAACTGTATTGGCAGAGAAAGTTGGATTAAATTAATCATTCCGATACATTCACCATGTCATATGTTCATGAGAAAGAAGAAGATGGAAAACTTCCAACTAGCATAAAAGATTACGAACATGCTGTAATTCGAAATCCCCCAGGGTTGGATGATGAAATATCGTGGTATTTCTAGGTGGATTCATTCTAATACTCTTTTCCTGTTCTATTGCGTCAAGCAATTCCTGGCTGACAATACATGCACATTAACAAATCCATCAAATCAAGTATCAAGCAACACAAATAAATCATGAAAAAGGATCGAGTAAGAGAAACTAACCTGCTGGGATCCTTCAGGCTGATGGATTGGCAACACATTGGGCACTGGGAGCTTCTCTGACACCTACAACATTAATCACATTAATACTGGACAGCCATGACTATTCAACCAAATTCTCTCGTACCAACCAAAAATAATTGAAGCAGCAATAATTCGGTCCTATGCAGCCTGAGTATTACTAAAACCAAAAAGAGGGAATCAATGCCTGAGTCTCAGGTTCCCAGTCAAGTGATGTCTGGGGAGGGCAAGATGCACACACTAACAAGTTTGAGAGGAATCCCATCAATCGGAACAAGGATCACGAAACCAAATAACAATAAGAAACATGTTTAACTTAAACCAGAAAGTTTTTAAAAATACACTAGTTCTTAAGTAAGAGATTTACCTGATGCATAAAGGCAAACAATGAAAACAATAACCATATGAAATTCATTTAACTGCTAACCTCAATGTTGTTGAAGACAGAAACAAATAACAGATTAATGATCAAATATATGATATTTTCAAAAATTAACTACAAGCAAGAGATTTATTTTTTTGACCAACTCTTTTTTTCTTTTCTTTTTTTATCGGCAACAAAAAGGCATTTTATTAAAAAAGAAGAAAAACTACAAATCGCACACAAGCCACCAATCTCTAGAGATAAGAAAATCAAAAAAATAAACGGAATCCCTTTCAACGGAGAAGAAATGGAAGCCCAAAAAGATGCCAAATGGCACACTCCATCCCATAGCGACTCAATGTCCTCAAACTTATCCTAAAAAATCTTAGCATTTTGTTACAACCACATAACCCAAAAAAATGAGAATGTTACACAATTCCACAAATAGTCAAAGCCACCTAAAAAATATCCACCAATAAAAAAAGCGATTCCATGAGACCAAGACCAAAGGGCAATGCAAGAATAAATGATCCAAAGATTTCTCATTCCTCTTACACATGATGCACCATTGAGAATAAAGATTGTGATTAGGATTCCTTTTTTGAAAAATGTCATTAGTCATGATATTTAAGAGAGACAACAGCTTTCCGACTTCTTCTATATTGAAAGAGATGACGACCAATGGAATTATCAATAATTTTGTCAAAAAAAGACATTCATGAAAAGATCCCAGAAGAATTAAGAGACCACACCCATTTATCACTAACATTTGTTCTCAAGGAAAAATCACCAAAGCATGGCCAACAGAGACAACAACTCAGAGTTTCCCAATCATTGGGATTTTTACAGAAATTGAAATCCCATGAAATGGAAGCCAAATAAGAATGAGCCATAGATGAAATGGAAACAGAATGGGAGCAAGCCAGTCGATACAAGTGTAGAAACAACACACCAAACGAAGAATCATCCACCCAAACATCCTCCCGAAATTGAGCATTATCACCATTATCCACTTTCACTTCTATGAACCTAGAAAAAATAGAAAAGATTTTACATATGGATTTCCATGGAAATCTACAGTTACCTCTATTAACCATAAAAGAATCCCTACCATTTAGCTTGAACCTCATATTTACTCTCAATAATGAAATCCATAATGAATTGCACTCAAAAAGAGATCTCCATAACCACTTTCCTAGTAAAGCAATGTTCCTTGCCACAATGTTTTCAATGGCAAGTCCCCCTTTCTCTTCGTGAAAAGAAACTATTTCACCAGTTCACCAAATGATCTTTTTTTCCTTTCACCCTATCCTTCCCAAAGAAAGTCCCTCATCATTTTTTCAATTATATTTGCAACCCCAGCCAGAATCTTAAATAAAGACAAGTAAGAGATGGGGATACTACCCAATATAGACTGCACCAAAGTGAACCTACCTCCTCTAGAAAACAAGGCTCTATTCCAACCTCTTACCAAACTTCTCCAACTTTAAGATCTGAAACAAGCTCAAATATTCTAAATAGTGAAAGCAAATTAACTACCTTAGAATCTTCCCCAAAAGAGAAAAAAAAATAGTATCATCTGCATACTACAAGTGGGACAGAAACCTTATCCCTTCTGATAATATTAAAAAAAAAATCAACTAAAGCAACCACTCTATCAACCAACCAACCCAAGACAACTGCCACCAAAGTGAAAAGAAAAGGGGACAACGGATCACCTTGTCTAAGAACCCTCCCTAGAAGCCTTACAACTATTCACTGCCTTACCATTTACTATGACGGACATATTGAAAGAAGATAAACACCCTCATATCCATTTCCTCCATCTTTCCCCAAATCCCTTTCTATGCATCACAAAATTCAATAACTACTAGTAGACATGACCATAAGATTTCTCAAAATTTACACTAAAAATCAAGCCATCCTTATTTAATCCTTTACATTCTTCAACTGCCTCATTTACAACCAACACTACATCTAATCTGACAACCCCTTCACAAAAGCTTCTTGAGCCAAAAATATGGTTCCCCCAAAGCTGCCTTAAAACTTTTTTTAATAACACTTTTCCCAAATTTTGTATAAGGATATGACCAAGCTAATGGGTTTGAAATCATCAATCTTCACAGACTCCTCTTTTTTAGGATTCAAACAAATGAAAGATTCATTTGTACACGCATTCACCACTCCATTCTCAAAAAACTCCGTGAAAACTCTCATCAAATCCCCTTTCACAACATCCCAACAATATTGAAAAAACACCATTGAGAACCCATATAGATCTAGGGATTTACCTCTCCTGTAATAAAAAAATGACTCTAATTTCAAATTCATTAAAAGGCATTTCCATCCATCTAGATTTATTCTCATCAATTGAAGCCCAATCCAAACCATCAATACCTGACCTCTCAATTTCCCCATTCAAATATAGAGTCGAATAAAAAGTAAAAAATTCATTAGCTATTTGGTCTTATGTATCCACAAACAACCCATTAGCTACCTCCATTCTTTTTTCTTTGTTCTTTTTTTGTCTGATGAACTTTTTCCTCTTCCCATCGACTACCCTATGAAATAACTTGGAGTTATTATCACTCTGCTCTACCCATTTCATTTAGCCTTTGGATCCCAAAAAATATGTTCACTAAATATAATCTCTTCCATATTTGTTTCAAACTCAATTATTGTTTACCTCAAAGTCTCATCAAGATTGTCCCTAGGCTCAATTTGATCCAACTCCTCAATTCTTCTAATGATTTCATTCTTTGTCCCATTCAAGTTTTTCAAATATCTCCCTACTCTAAACCCTCAATTTTTCCTTAAAGTCATTTTCAATTTCCTTGTAAACTTAAAATCCTCCCATCCATGACATGTACTCCTACTTGTACTCCACCACTCTTCGAAAAACTTCTTAAGTGATTGATGTTCTACCTACATATTCTCAAACCTAACAACTGAAGGACCCCCCTTAAAAGGGGAGCTCAATACCAACACACGATAGTGATCCAATACAACTCTTGGAAGCACCTCTCGTCTAATATTTGAAACCTCATATCCCATCCCAAAGAAAACAAAAATCTATTTTAACCTATAGCCCACCAAATTAGACTAGAGATTAGACCATGCAAAACGAGCGTTAGAAATCAATCCAGTCACATTCCCTTATAAAAGCATCAAAATCCCTCATAACCCTAGTTACCATAGTTGTATTAATTTTCGTAAAGCAATGTTCCTTGCCACAATGTTTTCAATGGCAAGTCCCCCTTTCTCTTCGTGAAAAGAAACTATTTCACCAGTTCACCAAATGATCTTTTTTTCCTTTCACCCTATCCTTCCCAAAGAAAGTCCCTCATCATTTTTTCAATTATATTTGCAACCCCAGCCAGAATCTTAAATAAAGACAAGTAAGAGATGGGGATACTACCCAATATAGACTGCACCAAAGTGAACCTACCTCCTCTAGAAAACAAGGCTCTATTCCAACCTCTTACCAAACTTCTCCAACTTTAAGATCTGAAACAAGCTCAAATATTCTAAATAGTGAAAGCAAATTAACTACCTTAGAATCTTCCCCAAAAGAGAAAAAAAAATAGTATCATCTGCATACTACAAGTGGGACAGAAACCTTATCCCTTCTGATAATATTAAAAAAAAAATCAACTAAAGCAACCACTCTATCAACCAACCAACCCAAGACAACTGCCACCAAAGTGAAAAGAAAAGGGGACAACGGATCACCTTGTCTAAGAACCCTCCCTAGAAGCCTTACAACTATTCACTGCCTTACCATTTACTATGACGGACATATTGAAAGAAGATAAACACCCTCATATCCATTTCCTCCATCTTTCCCCAAATCCCTTTCTATGCATCACAAAATTCAATAACTACTAGTAGACATGACCATAAGATTTCTCAAAATTTACACTAAAAATCAAGCCATCCTTATTTAATCCTTTACATTCTTCAACTGCCTCATTTACAACCAACACTACATCTAATCTGACAACCCCTTCACAAAAGCTTCTTGAGCCAAAAATATGGTTCCCCCAAAGCTGCCTTAAAACTTTTTTTAATAACACTTTTCCCAAATTTTGTATAAGGATATGACCAAGCTAATGGGTTTGAAATCATCAATCTTCACAGACTCCTCTTTTTTAGGATTCAAACAAATGAAAGATTCATTTGTACACGCATTCACCACTCCATTCTCAAAAAACTCCGTGAAAACTCTCATCAAATCCCCTTTCACAACATCCCAACAATATTGAAAAAACACCATTGAGAACCCATATAAATCTAGGGATTTACCTCTCCTGTAATAAAAAAATGACTCTAATTTCAAATTCATTAAAAGGCATTTCCATCCATCTAGATTTATTCTCATCAATTGAAGCCCAATCCAAACCATCAATACCTGACCTCTCAATTTCCCCATTCAAATATAGAGTCGAATAAAAAGTAAAAAATTCATTAGCTATTTGGTCTTATGTATCCACAAACAACCCATTAGCTACCTCCATTCTTTTTTCTTTGTTCTTTTTTTGTCTGATGAACTTTTTCCTCTTCCCATCGACTACCCTATGAAATAACTTGGAGTTATTATCACTCTGCTCTACCCATTTCATTTAGCCTTTGGATCCCAAAAAATATGTTCACTAAATATAATCTCTTCCATATTTGTTTCAAACTCAATTATTGTTTACCTCAAAGTCTCATCAAGATTGTCCCTAGGCTCAATTTGATCCAACTCCTCAATTCTTCTAATGATTTCATTCTTTGTCCCATTCAAGTTTTTCAAATATCTCCCTACTCTAAACCCTCAATTTTTCCTTAAAGTCATTTTCAATTTCCTTGTAAACTTAAAATCCTCCCATCCATGACATGTACTCCTACTTGTACTCCACCACTCTTCGAAAAACTTCTTAAGTGATTGATGTTCTACCTACATATTCTCAATCTTCTTCTTGAAAGTGGTTTATTTTTTTTCAATAAAATAAATGTAATGATTTTTTACAGCAAAGATAAAAAATGCTGACTCTAATCTAAAATACACGAGCCTATTGTAAAGGAAATATTTCATAAAATACATTAGCTTATTTACAATACAATTATTCCTTTTTTCTGATGACAATAAACTTCTTTACAGTGCTGCTAGCTCTTCTTGAATTGTTTTGTATATATGCTTGTACAAATTGGAAAAACTTGGTTGATAATTAGTGTTGTGTGGTGGCCTTGACAAAGTTATCTGGCTCGGCTCTCAAGTTAATAAACTTCAGCTTGAAATTTATTGAATGTTATGTACTATTAAGATCACTGTGCAGCTTAGTGGAAAAAGTTATCTGCACAATTGCTTGGAACGTGACTCTGCTTAAATTCAAATCATTTGTGCTTGTGCAAAAATTTTGGTTCAGCTAAAATATTGTAAATTGGGTTTTTTTAAAGCTAAACTCTAGCATTGTTCAACCATGTATATTAATAAATAGTCAATGAGTCTTGATAACTTGGTTTTGGAATCCTCGAATGAGGATTGATATCATTTGGATGGCCAAAATTGATGGGAATCCTTTTTGAGGAGTTTTGAGATGCCCATGACTGAACTTTTATATAAAATTCATCTGTCCTTTGATGGTTTTTACAGCATTGTGTTGTTAGAGTCATCATATTCTAAACCATGCTCAAATCATTTAGGCAAGTTTGTCTCTGAGAATATTTTCGGTGAGCTTAATCATCATATTTATGCTTTAGGAATTTTAGGAAAATTTAATTAATTACAAACAAATCTGTTCAGAAACATACTTATTCATAAAAACATAAAATGAAGACTTAAAATAACTTGAAACTTGATTACGTAAGGTAGGCCTGTGTGAAATTGCTAATTTGACCTTATTTTTCTAAGCATGCTATGCATCAATTCAGAATGTATTTTTGAGATTAGTGTGCTAATGCATATCGCGGCCTATTAACAAGAGCTCTCCAAGAAATACAATAAGACTGTACATCCGCACTTGTTCAAAGTTGGGGACTGGGTCTTGAGGAAGGTGATGAGTAACACATTGGTCCTCGGTAAGGGCAAATTGGGAGCAAATTGGGAAGGTCCATACAAGATAATCAGCCTTGCTGGTAAAGGGGCATACCATTTGGAGGACTTGGACAACGTAGCTATTCCAAGATCATGGAATGCGGCCAATCTCAAGCTGTTTTATTTCTGAAGTCTAATCTTCATTTTTTTGTAATCAAATTTGGCATATGGGCATTGTAAGTAATGTTTAATAAGCAATGGAAAAGACTTTGTGATTTGTCTACATGTCAGTTTTTTCCATATATTAGAAGTGTTGTATTTGTGCTGCTAGGTACTAGGGGCATTTCACCTTCAGTTTCAATGGCTCGCCGTACAGAAAGTTGTCTTGTGAAATGCCTGAGGCATGAAATTGATCTTACTAAGCTCCACTTCATCCGAGCTGATTTTTGCTCGCTGTGACAAAAACTGGTGACATCCTCAATTTCTCCGTGTGAACCAAACTGGTTTTGCTTGCCCTGAAAATAGCCAGTGAACTGAGCTGACTTAAATCAATCCGGGTTGACTTTGTCTGCCACTCAAATAGTTGGTGTTTTGTCCAACTGTGACTGCTTGTTCTGGGCTGACTTTGCCTGCCGCTTAAACAGTTGGTGTTTTGTCTAACTGTGATTGCTTGTTTTGAGTTGACTTTGCTCATGCATTCAAACAGTGATTTGACTGAGTTGACTTTGCTCGTCCTCCCCTCACGCCAAGTTGAATTTGCTCGTCAGGGAGACAATTATATTTTTTAGTTTCCATAACCGAGCTGATTTTTGCTCGCCGGGGAGACAGTTCTATATATTAGCTTCCGCAACCGAGTTGATATTTTGCTCGTGGAAACGATATGCTTCCCCAATTTTGAAAAGGAATTTTACATTTATGCACATTTGAAAAATTATACGAACAAAAATTAGCTCAGCATGGCAAAGAGCATAACGCATGGGTGCACTATGAGCAAATTTCATCTCGGCGACGTGCAAATCTAGCACAACACAATTAAACTGAGCAGTTTTGTATTAGCAACAATGAAGACTACAGTTATAATCATCCAAAAAAAGCAGACAAATTGAAGACACATACACAGGGCGAGCAAAAAGATGGTGATTTTCATTCATCATTAAGTCCGGTTACAATAATGGGGTTCATAGCTCAGTAACACCAAAAAAAAAAAAAAAAAAAAAAAAAAAAAAAAACCCCCCCCAAAAAAAAAAAAAAATATATCCCCTATATCAGCTCATTTTCAAATAACATTAAAGAGCCAAAAACAAAGTTTACTTGTGAAAAGTACTAGAATTTTCAGACCCAGTCATAGAAACCCAAATTTAAGCGAAGTATAAAAAATCAAACAACCATCCCCTTGAGTCCTAATCAGTAACCTAAATTAAACAAATCCCTCAAAATCAGCCCATTTTCAGAGAAATTAAACACATATCACAGAAACAAACACAAACCCATATACAAAGGTTTCAACTTTAATGGTAAAATTAAAGACTTGAAGAAATCAACTTGAAGAAAAATTGAAAGGCGATCTTACGCTAATCGGACAGATCAGAGGTAGGATCAGAGAGAGAGAGAGAGAAAGAGAGAGAGAGAGTAATCAGTGGCGAGATAGATGATAGGAGGAGGTGGCTGAGAAAGCCCTAACGATGAAGAAGATATGAGAGAGAGTTGTGGACTTTTCTCAATGGTTTTTCTTGGTCTTCTTCATCTCTTTTTACTTTTTTGGCGATGACTGAGCCCACAGAGACACAGTCGGTCTTCCAACACTACTGTCTCAACACGTGGCTTTCCTGTAGACATTTTATACGTATAAAATTGGAAAATATATTAGTAATAAATTTTAGTTCCTCCGTATCACTCTCATCAATACCATACCCTAGATACTCTATTTCGTCGGTAATGATTGGACTCATTAATCCCGTATACAATAATAAAATGGTTCATGTATATTAACTAATATACTAATGAGTCATTATAAAAAATTTAGGTATTTATAATTTGTTAATATTACATGCATAAATTAGTGTATTAATTAATGTATCAATACTAATCATGATATTATTATTGACTATGTTCATTAATTACATTACAAGTACCAAAAACCGAGGCTTTTCCCAATATAA